TGTCTGACTGCTGTAGGGTGTGTGTGTGTGTGTGTGTGTGTGTGTGTGTGTGTGTGTGTGTGTGTGTGTGTGTGTGTGTGTGTCTTTCTTCCTTTTAATCACACTTAAATGTTTCAGATCATTTCGCCATTTTTTTAATAGCTCACCAAAACAACCGAAGTGATTCTGAAATGCAGTATAATCATTCAGCATAAACCTACCGGCTTCACCTTGAACCTAATCTTGGCATTCGTAACTGTAATCAAGTGTTTGCAATGAATGCTGATTTAGTCTTCAGCATGGCTGTGCAGGAATTTTTGTTCACTCTTGTGTGCTGAATTGATTTAACTCACATATTCGTGAGTTTTTTTAGCATGATCTGCCCATTTAAGGTCATGTAACATTTCAGTGGGATGTAAGTCCAAACTTTGACTTGCCCACTCATAAAATCCCCCCCGAGACATTCAGAGGTAGACTTATGTTTCGGGCCCCCTGTCCAATGCAAACCCCAAGAGGGAACCCCCATTCAACTTCCGGTTCAACGTACTGAAGTTGTTCTGGTTTAAGTGTATAGTACGGTAAGTATAGTAGTAAATCGTAGAAGGTAGCTTGTGGACACAGAAGGAAAGGAACCAAACATAATTTTTACTTGCAACATGTTTATCACATTATGGACAGCATGCGACACGATTCGACGGAATTGTGTATCATTGACATTCTGCCAATTTATTGGAAAGAACAGTTTTTGAAATGCACGCATTTAGGAGTATAAAGGGATCTTAATTACATGGGTGAGTTGGCATGCCATGAAGAGGAAGCTGTTATTAACTGTTATTTTGACCAAATTATGTGAAAATGACCCATATATTTCCCTTTTGCAGACATCCTCTGTTCCCTTTGTTGGCTCTGCTGTTTGAGAAGTGTGAGCTGTCCACTCTTAGTTCTGAGTGTATCACGTCGGCAAGCTTTGATGTGGACATTGAGAATTTTGTCCGCTCTCAGGAGAAGGACGGAAAGCCCTTTTTCAGTGAAGATCCAGAACTTGACAACTTGGTGAGCTTATATCCTCCGACCAACAATGATATGCCAGCTCCACATTGTCTCTTTGGCAAACGTTTCTATATTTTAGTCCGGCAGGTTGAAATCAAATGTACTTGTGGTACGAGATCATTCCATAAAGATGTGGCTTCGAGACATCCGTTTTTAAACATAGATAGGTGCTTAACTTGCATCTTTGCATACATTGAAGCCTTGAATAAGCATTACCCTTCTGTCTTTATCGTATTTATTTTACCTTGTGTTATTTTCACAAGGCTTGGGATTTACTAGCTAACCTGGGTTCTTGGGGATTGTATTTTGTGCAATGTCATGTGGAAATATGGGAATATTTCAGTGATAATTCCAAAATGAATGATTGTTCAACAGTGAGAAGTGATCACTTTGGTATTTATAAGAACAAAATGAATGACCGTTTCAACTTTGGCCACCTTGTTTCTGACCGTGTATGTTTGTTTTTGACTTTAAAAACGTATTTGCATTTTTTACATGTACGTTGCTGCTTGACTGTGTGTCCACAAATCCAAGACGCTTTCCTAAAATGTGATCTTTTTATTTATTTATTTATTTTTTTTGCAGATGGTAAAAGCCATCCAGGTGCTGCGAATCCACCTGTTGGAGTTGGAGAAGGTGAGTGACCTGTGCAAGGACTTCTGCAGCCGTTACATTGCTTGCCTCAAGACTAAAATGAACAGTGAGACCCTACTGAGTGGAGAGCCTGGTAGTCCTTACTCACCTGTTCAAAGCCAGGCCCCAAGTTTCTCACCAGCCAAATCCCAGGTCAGCGATCACCATCAAGTCACCCTCATAATGTCAGTTTGAGGTTATCGTGAACAATCAATCCAAGGCCCTTTTGTTATCAGGTCCCCTGTTCCATCTCAGGGAGTCCTCAGGGTCAAATTGTGGTGCCGGCTTCAGCCCTGCAACAAGGAAATGTCACCGTCACGGCAGTAAATCCCACCCAGGTGGTTGCAGGTATGTCATCATGGCATACTACCACACCGACAGGTAACTGTCCTGTTACTGCATTATTACAGCGAAAGAGCAGCTCATGTCGAAAATGGCACTCTGACAAAGCTGCCTACCTCCAGCAACTCCAATATAACCATTGTGCATTCCTCCCAGGTGGCACAGTGTATCAGCCTGTAACAGTCGTCACTCACCAAGGACAAGTAGTAACACAGGCCATCTCACCAGGGACTCTACGTGTCCAAAACAATCAGGTTTGTCGTTTCTCTTTCTTTGATGCTTCTGACGTTGGCGTTAGCTCAAAAGACTAACACAAAAGTTCATTCCATCCATTCTCCGAACCGCTTTGCCTCCTTCGGGTTGTTGGCATGCTGGGGGCCGATCCCAGCTGTCTTCAGGCAGTAGGCGGGTACAGCTTGTAGTGGTCATTCATTTTACTGAAAAGAAAAATAGCACTGTTTGAAAAAAGTGAATAAACCTAACAGTAACCATCATAATTCCTACACAAATACATTGAGAACACTGAAAATTGTGTGTATAATTTATGTGTGTGCACCCCCCACACCCCTTTCCAGAGAGAGAGAGAGATATCAGGGGTCGAAATAAGCGGTAATGGGAGCTGTTCTCATATTCACATGATTGTCAATTACTGATTGACTGCACAAGCAGAAATCACTATCGTAAGTGCTCACAGAGGAGAGTACTCTAATAATATATCTGGACACATGGGTCAGCTGCTCAAAGGGGAGAGGCAATTTTTTTCGACATGTTTTTTGTTGTCTTGGACTTGACTCAGACTCCTTGGCAAGAATGTTGAACATAATGAAGTTTCTCAAATTTTGCAGTTCTATTTTTCTGTCTTAACGTTAACTCTTGATCTCATATGGACTCGGACTCGGACCTTGTGAACTCGAACTTGACTTGGACTCTTTGTCACTCTGACTTGAGTGGGACTTGACTTGGACCTTTGTAACCCGAATTTGTGACTTGGATTGGATAAAGTTGGACTTGACTACAGCCTTGCACTCACTGGGTTCCATCCACTTGAATGAGAAGTTTCTTGCCGCCAGAGTAGTGTCGCCGCTTCCTTTGCCGGACAGGCTGTTGCTCCTGCCTCAGGGTTGGCGCAGAGTTAAGATGACGAGCCATTGATTCGAAGGGGCAGCCATTAAGCCCTCTATTCAGAATGAATGAGTGCTGGGGGTGAGCTTTGAGTACCTTTCGCAAAATCACTTTTGCATGACTTCATCTATGTTGCATATAGAAGTTGTAAATATGGTTTCCCGGTTCAATATTGATGGAAAACACAAAATATGTGGACGGTATACATTGTATTTTTGACTTGACAGCGGCCGGTTGTGTCTCGCTGGCTTAAACCTGGAAATAGAATTTCTCCTTCTGTGCATTTGATGGGCTGTACATTGCCACATCATGCAAAGGCAATTCATAATTTAATATTCTAAATGAGCATTAAATTTAATGATAAAAATATTGAACAACTAATTGTGTGTTGGTCCACCTCAGAACTTGCTGTATCATGTCGGGGATTTTTTTGTACTGAAACTCTTTGTGGGTTTTTAGCATAAAATAGCAAATACAGTCACGATAGCCATGACATTTACACTTAGTGAAACGCAATACATTTCAACATGCACGATGCTTGATAAAAATCTAATTTTGTGTAATTGCCTAAGTAAGCAAATAGCATCAATCTGGGTTAATAGCCCATAAAATGAAGGATTCCATTGTTTGATACATTAAAATACACTTAATAATCCAACCTGTAGCGTCAATTTGAGTCACGCACAGTGACTGAAGTTGCCCAGCCAACCGACTGTCAGTTGAGGCTAACTTTACTTGCAATATACATCACCAAACACCGCATATAAATAACATAGCAAGGATTCTTAATCAGCATCTATACTTATCTGCAAATGTGGAAGCTGCTCATTTCACTCATGATATCATGTTTTGCTGTATAAAGTGAACACATTCCCTTCTTTTTTTCTTTCCGGCAGACTGGGCACATTAAGTGCATTGCTGCCGTCCATTGGTCAGATGACTAGCACGCATAGCAAGCCAAAACTAACACCTGTTCAGTTTTTGGATACAGCCCAGTGTTTCTTAAAAAAAAAACTGCAAAGCCACCCTTCTCCTCTGCCTTAGTGAACCATTTGGCCCCCAACATCATTCCAAATGACATGCCCCCTAAACCTAACCCAGCCATTACCTCAATCGATGCTGCATATGATGGACATTGCAGCATCACATCTGCTCCTCTGACTTCCTTACACCACAAACCTCACAACAGCCATCACAATGTTTTCATCATAAGTAGAGCCCACCAGCCAGTCCACAGTGAGCCAAAGCCCTGTCAATTTTGTATCCTCTTGCCTTGTGAAACATGGAGTAACAGTACACTCCGCTAGTGGATTAATGTGTTAAAGATTCCTCCCTCTCCTTTCAGTATTCCACGTTTATTGCCATTATTCACTTAGAAAGTATTTCTTCCCTAATTTTGGCATGAGATTCCATGCTCCCCAAGGACACTTAGATCTGTACTCCTGAATGGTTTGTTCTCGATTTGGTAATCTCATCTGCTATTTCATTGCCCATGACACCCACATTTGTTGGCATCCATTCATCCATTTTCTCCCGCTTATCCGAAGTCGGGTCGCGGGGCCAAAAGCTGTAGCAGAGAAGCCCAGACTTCCCTCTCCCCAACCACTTCTTTCAGCTCTTCCTGCGTGATCCCAAGGTGTTCCGAGGCTAACCGGGAGACAAACTCTCCAGCGTTTCCTGGGTCGTCCCCGGGCCTCCTGGCGGTAGGATATGCCCGGAACACCTCGCCAGGGAGCCGTCCAGGAGGCATCTTAACAAATGCCCAAGCCACCTCTCGACATGGAGGAAAGCGGCTCACCTCTGAGCCCCTCCCGGATGACCGAGCTTCTTAGCTTATCTTAAGGGAGAGCCCGGACACCCTGCGGAAAAAACTCATTTCGGCCTCTTGTGTCCAGCATCTCATTCTTTCGGTCATGACCCATAGCTCGTAACCATAGGTGAGGAGGGTTGGAACGTAGGTCGACCGGTAAATTGAGAGCTTCGCCTTTTGGCTCAGCTCCTTCTTCCCCACGAAAGACCGATACAAAGTTCGCATCACAGCAGACGCCGTAGTGACCCGTCTGTCAATCTCCCCCTCCCTCCCGCCCTCACTCGTGAACAAGACCCCAAGATACTTAAACTCCACCACGTGGGGTAAGATCTCATCCCCGACCCACAATAAGCCCATTCCGTAACCGATCATCTCCAACCTGAAAATCAACATTCAATCACGAGATCAGGTTGAGCCCTACCGCCACCTCTTCCCAATGCCACCAGCGATGACAATGAATCAGTGCAAATTAAAGAAATTTTAACCCCCACTTCTTTTACCCACCACAGTGACCAATGAATCCCAATCAATTCGACCATGAAGACAGCAATGCCATCAGGAAGCTGTCGACCCTGTCTAAACTCTAACTGAGGAACTTAAATACCAAAACTCACTTGACAGCTCGTCGGATCCCTTGACCCATCATTGTAAATTATGCAGCATCGACCCTTTCATTCCTAAGGTGCGTATTTACATAAATCCCTTTTGTAACCATGTCGTACCGCTTCATATACTGAAACATCTATGTCAGGGTCAGATTATAACCCAGGTTGAATGGCAGGCCAAATCACAGGACCCACAATGTCTCTACCCTGTAAACAGGGATGGACAATTTGATTTTTAACAGACTGTTTGAAAAAAAAAACTCTCTCTATCTGTTCCTTTTCTATATAGCCAGCTATCATCAAATACTGATGCGAAGAGAAGTGATCCTCCAAATCCTTTTCACTTGATAATATAATTAAAGGCCAGTTTCGTAATACAAAATACAAAGGACTTTCTCCGGTTTCCACGAGTAGAGCAGAGACTGAGGTAGTGCTCACTGCATCCACACATATTCTAAGTGTCCTTGCCTGAACCACATCACGTTTAGCCAAAGCGGTCTTGGCTGCGCAGCCATGGACCACAAATCCATTGTCAAACACCGATCGAACTATAGCTCTATTTACTGTTAACATTTCATCCCTCCCTACATCCCAAGTAGAACCAGTTAGGTAAATCCTTATGTTTATAGCTGTATTACTTTGTTCACTATTGTCTGAATATGTTCATCTGTGTAAGTTTTTGTTGTTTTTTTTTTTTTTTTTTAATCCAGCCATATTCCGAGAAATTACAGTATATACACGCACCCCTTCAACTCGCTCACCATGTAGTATCAGACGATGATGTACAGGTAATGAGCTGGTAGGCAATGAGTATGCCCACACCTGCTCTGCGCCGCTCACTGTGGGCAACTTCAGAGTGGAAAAGAGTCCAACCCCTCTGTGTGTGGAGGCAAGTCCGACTCTGTCAAGTTGGAACATCTCTGCCTTGCACATCAGCACAGGCTCTTTCCCTGCAAGAGAGGTGACATTCCATGTCCCTAGGCTAGCTTTTGTTGGCCCCTCCTACAGGTGGTGACCCCATGGGAAGGGAGACCCACGTTTACTTCTTCGGGCTGAGCCCAGCCAGGCCCCATGGGTGTAGGCCCGGCCACCAGGCGCTCGCCAGCGAGCCCCACCTCCAGGCTTGGCTCCAGAGTGGGGGCCCTGGTGACCCGCGTCCAGGCAAGGGAAACGGAGGTCCATGTATTATACTTATCATAAGTGACTTTCGTGACTTACCTAGCTGACAGTTTGAGCTTTCGTCTGAGCTGTGACTGCTTCCTTGTGACCGGGCCCGGCAGGAAAGCGTCAAAATAAGGCTCCGTGACCCGGTCAAGGCTGCGAACCATCGCTTTGACAGTGTTGAAGAGATGTGTCCCCATTGATGGTGTCATCTTCGTGGAGGGACGAGCGGGCTTACATGATTCCACACACCCAACTTTGACAGTGTTAGAGATGTGTCCCCGTTGATGGTGTCATCTTCGTAGAGGGACGAGCGGGCTTACATGATTCCACACACCCAGGACACATTGCTTCAATGGCGGGAATTGGTTGGAGCGCAGTTTAACGAATCAAAAAACGAAAACCAAAAAAGTTATCATGAACACAACACTAAGAAACAGTATGTGAGACAGTAAACAGTGTGACGAAACACAACAAAGGAAGGTGCTGGGTGCAGCTCAGTCAGCTCACGGGATAAATCCAGTTGTGCTCTCATTGGTCGATGTTGCACCGGGAACCAATCATGCGACTTGGATGAGTGCCTGTGACCTGTCCAGTCCAGTACAAGCATGCACAAAGCCTCGGAGTCTGAGCCTCATCTCTTTGTCCAAAATGCAGGGAAACCTCTCTCGCACATCAACATGAAACATCTCTTACCGCAATATGGATGCCGATATGGCTGTATTTTTTTCTTTTTTCTTTTTTGATTACCGTACTTTCCGCACTATAAGGCGCACCTAAAAGCATTCAATGTTCTCAAAAGCCGACAGTGCGCCTTATAATCAATCCAATGCGCCTGCCTTTATGTATGACTCAATATTCCTGATTTCTTGGACATAGTATTTTAAAGGTACTGTAAAGCGCTTTGTTACAGCTGCAGCGGTTGTGAAAGTGCTATACAAATAAAGTTATTGTATTCCTTTGGTGTAGCTCCATCTAGTGGATGCCTAACACAACTGCAGCCACTAACGTGGCTTCTATTTTATGCGCCTTCTAATGCGGTGCGCCCAATATATGAAAACGGTTTTAAAATAGGCCATTCACTAAAGATTCGCCTTATACTCCGAATCGCTTTCTCTTGCGGAAAATACGCAATTTAATTTTTTTAATGAATAGAGTATTTTAGGAAAACTGAAGCCACAAAACTTGAAGCGAGAAGTGGCGAGAGGTTACTGTATTTTAATAAAGGTTTGACCCCTTTCCCTGCGACTGACTGGCAACAAATTCAACCTTATACTCCGAATCGCTTTCTCTTGCGGAATTTTATTATTATTTATTTTTTTTAATGAATAGAGTAGTTTAGGAAAACTGAAGCCACAAAACTTGAAGCGAGAAGTGGCGAGAGGTTACTGTATTTTAATAAAGGTTTGACCCCTTTCCCTGCGACTGACTGGCAACAAATTCAGGGTATAGTCCGCTTTTTGCCCAAAGTCAGCTGGGATTGGCTCCAGCACCCTGATGAGCAGTGTTGAAAATGGATGGATGGATGACACCCCTTTACTGGGTCATTAATGCCATGATAAATCCACAGGGCCCGTGTACTAAAAATTTGAAATGATATGCTCGCGCTTGGGACACAAATCTACTGATGTATATCTAACTCGAGTTGTATATGTTCTTACGTCGCCAAAGTGAGGGTGGGAGGGGCAACAGTTACCATGAAAGTCAGGGGGACGTCCCCCGTGCCATCTGCATCCATGAGTACAGAGAAGGTCAGCATTATGTGAATTTTTTGCTCTTCACGGGGTGGCCTGGTCCCTATCATCCACAAATTTCGGTGGTCCACTGTATAAATAATCTACGAGTGAACAGCTCACTTAAAAAACTGAAAAAATGATGCTCACTGTAGGCACTTTTTTAAAATTGTTGAGTTAGATAGTGATGCTACGGTAATGTAATTTTAATGACTGTAATTTGGTTTGCTTTTTTTTTTTTAAATCTAATTATACATCACAGCAAGCAGCCTCTTATTGAAACAATATCATTTGATTCTGTTTTTTAAAAAAATACACTGACATACGGGTCATGATTGAGGTGAGCGTGTTGACATTGCCATCGACAACCATTCCAAGTTTGTTGCATGGCCCGTTTGGTAAATGAATTGCCCCGGGTGGAAGTTGGAAATTTTAAGAGGCTTTAAGAAAATTCTTATGATGCAGCAATTAGGTTGTTTTTATCGAGTATGTTTAACATGACCAATTTACAATGGTATCGTTGTTCTTGGCTAACCTATTCTCCATTTTGCTCAGCTCCAGCTGCGGTTTCATCAGGACTTAAACCTCTTCAATCATGACGACAGCTCGACAAAAAACAAACGCGGTGTTCTACCCAAGCATGCCACAAATGTCATGCGCTCATGGCTTTTTCAGCACATTGGAGTGAGTTTTGTGCACGTCGGGTCATTTGTCAACCTTGAAATACAAAACCAACAAAATGTCTTCCTCCCTTCCTCTGTAGCACCCTTACCCAACGGAGGATGAAAAGAAACAGATAGCCAGCCAGACAAATTTGACACTTCTACAGGTCAACAACTGGTGAGTGAAGTTTCCCCCAATAGCCCACAAAAGCCCTTCTTTTCTCTCCCTATTGTTTGAATTATCTCATGTATTTAAACATAAGATGTGTGAGTTATATTAACTTGACTGGCTTGCTGTTATTAATGTATGTTTGCATGTGTTTCTTGGGAGATACGAGCAATGTGGCCTCATTACAGCATAGTTTCATAACTCAAGTCTACTCAATACCTGTGGGAAGAGAATCACACTTGGGGGAGAAAAACACAGAATCTATATGCTGCCTTGTGTTTGCAGGTTTATAAATGCTCGAAGGCGGATTCTGCAACCCATGTTGGATGCCAGCTCCTCTGAGACGCCTAAAACTAAAAAGAAGACTCCTCAAAACAGGCCACTGCAGCGCTTCTGGCCTGACTCCATTGCCTCAGGGGGTGGCACACCACAGCAAGTTACAATGCCAGATGGTATGAATAAAATCTTACAAAATGGCCAAAATGGCGTTTTACATTCTCACAGATTTTGTCTTATTTACATTTTATTTAATTTATGAAAACTGTTTTGGCCACAGCAGAAGTGCCCAACCCCTTTTAACCGAAGACCTACTTTTCAAGCCAACCAACCTTTGCGATCGACCATTACCGCACGCACACTCGCGCGCACACACACGCATGCCATGATGAGCGGCAGCCATAACGGCACCTAACATGAATAAAACAGAAAAATCAAGTCGAGTTTATGAAAAGGAAATCACTGCCTACCTTAGTGGGGGGACCTAACGCGGAGGCATGGGACACACTTTTGCAGCATGTTAAGCGAAGGAACATCACTACCGTAGTTCACATGTACCCTTTTAAAATGTGTCTCCTGGCGCTCCATATTCCCATTTTTTTGCCAGTGCTATCGTTAAATTGCAGATGACACAAACGGAATAAGAACAATTTTTAAAATGAAAGAAAGAAAAAAACATACCGCAAGATGTCACAAGCTGCTGAGCACTAACAACTTCCAGTGATGGAGTTCATGCGCCACCGTCGGTTAAACATTACCTGCTTTTTTATTTTATTTTTGAATACTTTTACTGATAGGATGGTTAGGATGCAGTGTACACAAACACAAAAATATATAATATTCCTCACAGACACACCAATCTCTTCCCCGACAACCCTCGCGATTGACTTGGGACCAGTCGATCGCGACCACCGGTCGATCGCAACTGGTTGGGCAACCCTGATTTACAGTATATGACAACTGCGTTTTGGAAGCAATGAGTCTGATACCTCTACTCCCGCAAAATGTACATTAACTGCGACCAGAGGAGACCCCTAAATTAAATTCACAATCCAAATGCTTGTCATTTTGATTATCACAGCGACTCAAAAATAATCGCACAACACCGCTGAGTTTGTGCTCTTTAACTTCTCCCCAAAGAGTACATTTACGAAATTGACTGAAACTATGAATGCACTGCGTTCTAACTAAAGACTTCCCCGAAGGAAGACGCACATCACCAGCGTCGGACGAAATCCTTGTATCTCTAAAAGCATCGCTTTTTAGGAGACCCCAAAAACATATATGTTCACCCATTAACATTGCGTCATCAAATAAAGAAAGAAAGCCATTCTCAACACTTCAGTATAGTTTTGTCAAAACAATTATTAAATGAACCCAATTGGGACATAGAAGGTTTCAGCCCGACGCCAGCCGCATGTACAGGTACAGCGACAGATCTGACGTGCACGGCGCAACCTAAATATTTTTTTAGGTCATCGTGAATAAGTTTGATCATCTCTGAGTGTGATTTTATTTCCCCATTTTTACCAAGTTTTTATTGGGGTAAACATTGCCGCAGATTTCTACTCGGACATTCAAGTTCCTTGACTGTTTTTTAGGTACAATGGTGACGATGAACATGGAGGGTCTCCACAGCCTGACATCGGATGGTGCGACACTGGCGGTACAGCAGGTGATGCTCGGCGGCCATAGTGAAGATGAATGTGGGGACAGTGGAGAGGATGACGACGACGCGGATATGGCTGGGCTGGGCCTTGACAACAGTGAATCACTCCAGTAGATAATGCGCACAAACATCATACACTACAGTACATGTCCACGCAAAATGTCAAATGAGTCTGCAAAAGCGAGCGGGTTTTTGGATGGCCATCGTACAAACGGACACACACATTTGGGTTTATCCAGAGCACAAAACAGGATTTGTGGGAATTATCCCAATCTTCCTAAAATCCACCTTTTGCCGTGCGTGTTTTTCAGAAACTGTTTTTACTTATTTAGTTGCTGTAGGCGATTGCACTTTGTATATTTAAGTGAGAAAAGAAATGGAATTCATCCGAGGAAAGTGTTAAACACCAGAAGCGAGTTTGTTATGCTATGTTCATAAATATTGACAAACATCATGTCTTTCTTCACCCCTGTTGAATTGTAAGTTTGGATGACAACACTTTAAAGTTCTATTGTTAGGGTTTGTCTCTTTTTGCATGCTTGTGTTTTGAGTAGATATGTGCAAGACTGACTCCACAGCTCTCACATGGACCTCTGCAAAAGAGCAAAGCTCTTGGGAGTTTCAAAATAAAAGGCAGATGCTTATTTTTATATCCATACACATAATATGAAAATAGTGTTTTTTTTTGTTTGTTTGTTTGTTTGTTTTTGTTCCGTTTGTAACAAATGTTGATGTACAGATTCATAAAAGCAGCAACCTTGTTTTCCAGGGTTCTTTGTGAAGTTTTCTTAAAAAACTGAAAAAAAAAGAATTAAATTGGTTTTAAACTTAAAATCGAGTTCTGTGTTCTTTTATTACTACCGAAAAGAGCAAAAGTCTGACTGATTGGTTAAAAAATAAATAAATAAATAAATTGGACTGCATTTAAAGAAAGCTGTTGGAACAGGCTTTGAGTTCGTGTATAATTTTTATTATTTTACACAAATTTCAATGTTTTACTCAGGTAAATATTTGTTATAAGCTTTGTAAAAAAAAATAAAATAAAAAATTGAAAGTAGAAGCAGAATATGATTAATCGCAATTACAGAAAATGGTGCAATTAACCCTTTCAGGGACAGCGGTTACTACAGTGGACATTTTATGTTGTCAGGTTACAGATTATTGGTGCATGAAAGGGTCAATTAGTTACAATTTTTTGGTCCCTAGACAGCATGGATGATGGATAGATTTTTTTATTTTTGAATGAGAGAGTATTGTTAATGTGCGGGAATATCTGAGATGTCCTCAGGATGGGGATGGGTAGTTTGCAAACGTAACGTCTCTTTTCATGCCTGTTTTTCTTTTTATAAAGCATGATGTTTTGTCATGTCTGGTTTGACTGAGAGCTTTCCATTTTGGAATAAAAAATCTCAACTCTTAATTTCTGCCTTATCAAACTGGCTCGCAGTCTCAATCGAAAAGGTGATTCAGTTGATAGTTGCTGCGTTTGGAGCCTCTTCCCTCTGGAAAAAAAACCCAAGACGACAATATTAAAAGTCCCTGTAAAGTGAAAATGAATAGTTCTTGTAAAACATCACTGATAAGAGTTTTGAAAGGTTAAAACAAATCGGCAGGTGTATAAAATGAGGCTTATGCATCTTAGTTAAACAAGACCGCATGAGCATTTCAAAACATTGGAATAAGTCATTGTGAATACATATACTTGTTCTTAAATATTTTGATCACATTAGACTTACTAAATCTGAAAACATGAGTCTTAGGCCTAACATTTCTGTCAAATGTTCCTCCCACATTCCCAAAACATGCGTGGCAGGTTAATGGAACACCCGAAATTGTCCCTCGATGTGAGTGTGAGCGCGGATGGTTTTTCATCTATGCGTGCCCTGTGATTGGCTGGCAGCCAGTTCAGTCAGACGTTAACATCTGCTTCAAATTGGTGATAAAAATGAATTGATTTGATGAATTATCCAGAGAACAAATATAACATAATTTGACTACTAAGGAATAAAACTCCAGTCAGACATATGCAAATATTGAAAATTTATTTTTAAATTGTGGGAGGGAAGTCTGGCATCCCTGGTATTAAAAGCTGTCCCTGAGACCCGACGTCAGATAAATGGAAGAAAATGGATGGCTGTTTTTGCCATACAGTCTTTGCACATCGTTGTATGTCCTTGTTGCTCATGAATACCTTCTGATTGAGGCGGTGAGTCGCACAAAGTCTTAATCTCTGGTTTGATTCGTTTCACGCACTGACCTCCATGTGTTGCCGGATCCAGTGAAGTGAATGTGTGATCCTGGTATACACGCCTGGCTTGTTCCTTATCGCACAGCCAATGCCCCAGCTCGTCGTCCCAACCAGCTTCCATCGAGATGAGTCCTCACAAGCGAGAGGACCCCCACTATCCCCCTGCAGAAATGAATTCGAATGAAAATGAAATGTGCACATCCTGGCTCACAACAACTTTTGGCTGGGTCTGTACATACACTTGTTGGGATCATCACATCATGGGAAAACAGTACAGTGGTGTTATATAATACACTGAAACAAGATCACAAGATGAATTATCACCTGACAGGAGTCTATTCCTCCTCCCAAGTATCCTGCACAGATCATCCATGGTGAGATGAAGCCCTGGTAAACCTGAGGCTGGTTGCAGGTCTTTGTGGAGAGGAGGGGGACCATGGCAGAACGCAAAACCACACTCGTCTCCCCTTGAAAAGGCACGGCACATTGAAAACTATTTCTTTGTACAGTCATGAATTATTTGTAGCCGTGCAATCCGATTTGTGGGGCTCACCCTTGTCCTCCGTTGCTCCCCAACCAGAGATCCAGCACATGGTACCCTCCTCAAATTCTTCCCCATAATTCGGCAGGCAGATGGGCTCCACAAATCCTAAATAAAATGGCATAGGACATTTCAGATGCAGTGGAAATGAAAAGTCTACACGCGGCTGTTCAAATTCTTGTTTATGTAATATAAAAAAAGAAAAAAACGAGGTAAAATGGCATAGGACATTTCAGATGCAGTGGATATGAAAAGTCTACACGCGGCTGTTCAAATTCTATCTTGTTTATGTAATATAAAAAAAGAAAAAAACGAGATCAAGATGAACCATTTCAAAACTTTATTTCCACAATTATGACTTACAGTATAAACTGGGTAACTCGACTAAATTTAAAAGGAAATCTTATCTAAAGGGGAAGTAAAAACACCATAGATAATGCGGTTGCACAAGTGCACACACGCTCTTATAACCGATATGTTTTACATTTGTCATGGTGTTCCTTTTGGAGATAAGCAGTCATGTTTGGGACAAACCTACCGTTTGGAAATATAGGTGACAGGAAACGCCGTCATTTAAGCTTGGCTCTACTCAGATTTCCCATGAAGATGTGTGAATGACATACTTAAATCATTGACCCAAAAAAATGTGCAGCTGCGCACCTTTTCGGACTCAAGCACACGGTACAATATGCCCCTAAGTGCATAAACTAACATCATACCATTGAAAATAAGGGGCTTGCTGAGTTTCACAAGTGCAATATCATAATCCAGTCCTTTAGGGTGATAGCGAGCGTGATGTATGATCTGCTCAACTGCAAGAGATTGGGCACCATGGACTGGTTGCTCTACCTCTCCCGCATGGACTACCCACAAGGAAGGGTCTGCAAATCTGATAACAGAAAGGACAATTAATGAGCTCTGCCACATCAAATATCCAGAATAAGAATGAATGGAATGCTAAAATATTAACATTGTCAATGCTGGCATATGTAAAATGTAACAGACCATAACAAGTGCTGATTGTGAGCCAATATACAGTACACGACATAAACGTATAAACACACCATGACAGGTTATCATGTCCCAAGACACAATTATTTAATTGTAAAATTACAACATACTGTAACGTTGAAGTGTTGCCTTCAGGGAAAAGTTGAATAAATATGGCCAAAACAGATCAATGTATGAATGACTTACCCAAAAACACAATGCGCTGCTGTGAGGATCCAATGTGATGTTATGATAGAGCCTCCACAGAGGTGTTCACTGCTGAAATGAAGGCTGACCTGCCAAGGAAACTGGCCTGGCCGAGAGATGTTTCCTCCAACAATACGAGTCAAGTACTTGGGTCTGAAGCCACATTCTATGAACAGAATAGTGCACGTCAGCCTTATCTTCTCTGTGAACCGTGTAGTCCAGTGTGACTTGGTGGATTTTGTTTTTAGTTTGAACTAAATGTCCAAAACTGACTTGCTACCCAGGTGCAGGCTGTAGGTGCAACAATCACAGCAGGATGTCCATGCGCAAACTGTGTTCCCAGCTGTGAGACTTACTAAGACACCGAACGTAAGCAACCGTTTCTGTCACTTTTGAATATAATTCATTTGGAGAATTCCGTAAGATTGCAGTATAGTATGGTATTTTCAACTTTGAAGAAGCCTGATCATGATCCTAATCATTTGAATCAGGTGTGTTGGAGGTGGGAAACATGTAAAACAGGCTGGGTAGGGGCTCTCAAGGATTTAGCAATCTGGTTGAAAACCAGTTGGGACCGCCATCCATTACCCAAGCCACTTATCCTCAAGAGGGTCGCAGGTGCACTGGAGCCTATCCCAGCCACGTTCAGGTAGTAGGCGGGGGGACACCCTGAACTGGTTGCCAGCCAATCATAGGGAACATAGAGAAACAACCATTCACATTCACAATCACACCTAGCAGTTGGGACCTCCAATAATACATTTTAAAACATTCATTCAATATTTTTGGTCACAAATCCTCAGAGATGTCAACACACATGAGGTCAACACACCACAAAATGGAACGATGGCCAATGAAGACGTGACCTGAAGCTTGTGCTTGTGCATAACAGATGAGCCACAGGTTGTGTTGAGTGTTTCCAATTATTTACCACAAAAAAATCACAAGGATAAACATTTGTAACCACAACCATGTTGAATCTAACAGTTAAACCTTGACACTATGGCAGACATGTGGTTTGGCGGAGGAGACTCAAACGTGTCAGTCAAAAGATCGTATGTGTGGTATGCAGTGTTGGCCTTCTTGTGTACACCACACACTGTTAGAGCAGTTTTTTTCCTCATGATGAGTGAAGTCCCTCACGTAAAAATAAATAATGTTTTTTTTTTTTTTTAAAAGACATTTAAGATTGCTATGTGTGTACATAACCACACTTAAGTGTCTCACCCAGACATTTCAGCGTTGTCACCTTTCCTGAACTGCAGTGGGCTTTACTGTAGTGACCAAAGACAAGCAAGTCAGACACGTACAGAATAAAAATCAGACAGCAGGACATTGACATAACAGTTTAAATGTTAAAAATACTAAAATAAACAATGTAAGTAAGAAAAGCATTGACAGTTAGTATTATTTCTCTCTCTCTCTCTCTCTCTCTCTCTCTCTCTCTCTCTCTCTCTCTCTCTCTCTCTCTCTCTCTCTCTCTCTCTATATATATATATATATATATATATTTTTCACACACACACACACACACACACACACACTGATATTTTTTAGTCCCCATCGGATTGTTTCCCTGTTAGTGTTCTGATGTCATCTATTGGTGTTTATAGGCAGGAACCAATTGTAACCTAAAAGGGTTCTGCCCGACACTAATTGACACGTGCCTTCACCAACACACACTCAAACAGACAACTATTTTGTGAGCTCTGCACAGCCATTATGAAATGAAGATACAGCAATACCAAAAAGCATAGTTCACTACTGACTAAAAGAAGGAAGAAGGAGACAAGCAAGACTTCGAAGGATATTCAGCTCCTTGTAGACGTGAGCTCACGAGCTTTGTGTGCCTTTTTGTTGAATCAATTGGCTTCAAAACTTTTGTCTTTCATTTATTGTTTTGTAATGGCATTTGTATTTATATGTTTCATGTCCGTGTTTGTGACCAGTTCTGCATTGCTTTGCTCTCTATAAATAAAGCTGTATTTTATTGTATTGCATTGTGTTACCTTTAGCGTAGCAGCATCGAGTGGATACATAGCGCAACCGCAGCCACTATTGTAGCCTCTATTCTATGCACCTTATAATGCAGTGCGCACTATATATGAAAACAGTTTTAAAATAGGCCATACATTGAAGGTGCACCTTATAATCTGAAGCACCTTATAGTGCAGAAAATACGGTATATCAATTGACCGATCTATCGATCGATAGATGTATTAGAAATTAGCTGCTAGTTTGTAATTTATTGTTATGCGCACACACACACACACACACACACACACACACACACACACACACACACACACACACACACACACACACACACACACACACACATTTATATTGCATTATTAAACTACAACTATATTCTGTACCTGTAGCTTGTGGTGTTTTGTAGCTTAATGATTTGTGATTGGTTCAGATTGATTGACACAAGATTGGACTGAAGGTCCTGCTCAATGGAGGTCAGGGAGATGAAGAATGACTCGACGTAACTGCCAAAGAGACGAAAACAGGAACAGTTAATATAGGTAATTGGAATGTTGAAAATTGTTTATACATTGTGCACGATAGTTTTCAGAAAAATATGAATGAGAGTGGGTGAATTGTTGACTGTGTCACTAAAAGGACAACAATATAAATGTTTACATTTCGACTCAAGACTAATTTCTGTTCTTTTACATCTAGTTGAATTACATGTTGACCTGCTCAACTGCCGCTTCTTCTACCGACTTGGAGAGGGCGCTAAGTGACGATGACTAAATTGGATGTCACTGTACAGAATGTGCACCGACTGACAAGGACGAGATCTGAGATGGAACGCCTCACTGCTGGTATGGAGATTTACGCATTGATCAACCGGGCTGGGTTTTGCGGAGAACCCACCCTTTCCTTAAGGTGTCTTTCCACAGCCTTTTATCTTAATACATGGAAACTCACACTATTCTACCGAGCATTGTGTAGAACAGCATTATGTGTTAAATGTTGCCCACTCGACCGACTTTGGACATCCCTGGTCTACAGTATGTGTGCCCTGCCGTTGGCTGGCACCCACTTCAGGGTGTACCCCACCCACTACTAAAAGACATCTGGGATAAGCTCCAGCATGCCCACGACCCTCATGAGGATAAAGCACATAAACAAACAACCATTCGTGGCCACAATCACGCATCGGGACAATTTGGAGCATTCAATCAACCTGCCATGCATGTTTTTGGAATGTGGGAGTAAACCGGAGTACCCGGAGAAAACCCATACAGGCACAGGGAGAACATGCAAACTCCGCACAGGAAGACCAGGGCTGAAATCGAACCAAAATCGAACCCCTGACCTCTGCACTGTGAAGCAGACTTGCTAACTAATCGAACATCATGCTGTGAGAGAGAGAGAGAGAGAGAGAGAGAGAGAGAGAGAGAGAGAGAGAGAGAGAGAGAGAGAGAGAGAGAGAGAGAGAGAGAGAGAGAGAGAGATTGAACAGAAGCCATGCATCACAGCAAAGCACACACAAGGTGTCATTTTAAGTGAAAGAGACACCTGGTATATCCCAACTGCTTGCAGGCTGAGAGTCCCAGCCAGTTATTCCAGTCATCTGAGCAGACTGTCCTCCACACACCGCCTTTCTGAACTTGAAGGACTGAACTCCGCCCACTGAGACGCACTGACATAGAAACAGTTCATAGTTTATTTGCAAATTATGATTCAAAATAATGTATAGTTACTTTATGGGGTGGGTGGTATTGGCTGACATTGCTTTGCTGTCATCTGGAATGGTCAAGATGTATTAAATGTTGCTTGCACCTGTGCCTTCCAAAAATAAACTTTACCCTGGCTTTACCTTGGTTTCCACATGAGTTTTTGCACTTATATAGATTAGGCCTGGTCGACTAGTTAGCGCGTCGATCTCACAGTGCAGAAGTGCAGGGTTCTATTCCAGCTCCGGCCTTCCTGTGTGGAGTTTGCATGTTCTCCCCGTGTTTATCCTGAGCAGTTTATCGCAAGTTTTACACCTAATGTTATGCAGAAAGCGCGCATACATCTAAATCCAATTGCCATGCACTCTTGATGACTACAAACAAACAAAACATGACTTTAAACAGAACCTGCCAATGAGCTGTGTAATCTGGTTGAGTGAATGAACTTGGAATTTAGCACCTGCTGTTAAGGATCTGAATGTGAGTTCAATAAACCAATAGTCACACGCCCACCAACAGTGCACACAATCAATTCGAGCGTAATTTTGCAAGTTAGGCGCAATATATCTTAGTCGCGCTGTGCGGTGGTGGGATTAAGGGCCCAGTAAAAAAAAAAAAAAAAAAATGAAATCACTTCAGGCCCAATCATTTGCCCCAAAACTTCAGTCCCTGTCAGTCCTAGGACCTTTGAAGCGCCCCTTGTGGTTTGCTGTGCGTCTCACCACAGCCAAGCTCATCCTCTCCATTGTCACAGTGCACCTCTCCATCACACTGCGCTGAGCTTCTGATGCATTGAGAGGAAAAGCCACAGCGAAACCTCCCAACACAGCTCAGACCCACTATAGAGACACAGAGGGAAAATAAAAACAGAGCAGATTTTTTTTTCTCCAATTCATTGAAGACAATATACGGTAATCCTTTGTGATAAAATGAAATCTATTTTCAAATTGTGCGAACTTGCAGTGCAGCCCGTGACAGTTCATTGGGCTCTGCCCAGCTCAATGGAAGAAGAGAGTGAAGCGTTTTGTGCTCATTCCAGCAGCGCTGGCCTTTATCGGACTGCTAAAGGGATCGTCTATTCAAATTGTGACTTTTCACTTTTAATATGAATTCTATATGAATAATTTTACGTTATATTTCCTTTTTTATTCATTCGGTTGAAAAGTTTGGGCTTTAACATCAGTTCTTCTATTGACCTCTGACCCCTAGGTGATGGGACATGACCTCCGGGTGACCCCCTAATGTCATCATGGAGGTCATCAACCAAATTTTGACATAAGCGGCAATACACCCCCTCCCCCTTATTGGCAAGAAGAATTGTTAAAACTGGGATTTTTTTTTTTTTATGTTAAAACCATTTGAAAATGATAAAAGAGGTTAAGAAGTACAATGTGTCAGACAAGTTTCTCACCTCCAAGGCCAATACCAAGAGCTAGAGTGAACACCGTTATGACACAGGCTGCAATTATCAACACCATGCGATGGGCCAGTAGTCTTTTCTTCCAGCCTTTCACCAAATCATCCTCTGTAAAAAGAGTATAGATTCAGAGTACAGACTTTGACTGTACTGTAATAAGTAATCATCATCTCTCTCTCATTAGCAGGAGCAGGAAATGGTGCAATTGACAGAATCCAATCAAGCATGCTCTAATCTTTGCTGGTGTCACCTCCTGATTGGGGATTATCGAGGATATTTCAATTAGTTATTGTCTTCTGTCAGCATTTTTTTAATCAATCTTTAATTATTCAGGGCCAGAACACAGGGGCATCATTCTTAACAGAGAGAATGACGGCAATGTTGTCCAGCTCTTAGGAGTAAATTCTAAGACATTCTCTGACCAGTTGAGAGACAGTCTCTCGAGTGCAAACCACCGGAGATTCTTCCAGGAGGAATCCTAACCAGTCGTCTGGGTCCTCTTGATGCAAAGGAGCAGCGACCCCTAGATTTTATGAACTATCCAAGTTTGGAGGTGTTGTTTCTCATTCCAGCCACTTCACACTCAGATTTGTGTCAAAGTTACAACTAAAAGCTAACAACATCTGCAAAAGCAGAGAGCGTGAGGCCACCAAAGCAAACCACCTCAGTGTCCTAGCTGCCTCTATAAATTTTGTTCAAACACAAACATCGGTATCGAAGTGCCTGACTCAGTGCCCATTAAATGTAAAGGGACCAAACAGCCCAGGGTACTCTATACACCCTGTCAAACGCCTTCTTCAAATCCCACTAAGCACAAATTGACTGGTTGAGTGGACTTTCAAGGACACGGCTGAGGCTGTAAAACATGCCCCCAATCAAGCATGCTCTAATCTTTGCTGGTGTCACCTCCTGATTGGGGATTATCGAGGATATTTCAATGAGATATTGTATTCTGTCAGCATTTTTTTTTAATCAATCTCTAATTATTCAGGGTCAGAACACAGGGGTATCATTCTAAGCAGAGAGAATGACGGCAACATTGTCCAGCTCTTCAGAGTAAATTCTGAGTCATTCTCTGACCAGTTGAGAGACAGTCTCTCTAGTGCAAACCACCGGAGATTCTTCGAGGAGGAATCCTAACCAGTCATCTGGGTCCTCTTGATGCAAAGGAGCAGCGACCCCTAGATTTTATGAACTCTACAAGTTTGGAGGTGTTGTTTCTCATTCCAGCCACTTCACACTCAGATCTGTGTCAAAGTTACAACTAAAAGCTAACAACATCTGCAAAAGCAGAGAGCGTGAGGCCACCAAAGCAAACCACCTCAGTGTCCTAGCTGCCTCTATAAATTTTGTTCAAACACAAACATCGGTATCGAAGTGCCTGACTCAGTGCCCATTAAATGTAAAGGGACCAAACAGCCCAGGGTACTCTATACACCCTGTCAAACGCCTTCTTCAAATCCCACTAAGCACAAATTGACTGGTTGAGTGGACTTTCAAGGACACGGCTGAGGCTGTAAAACATGCCCACTGTTCCACAAATAAAGCCACAGCCAAAATAAAAACACGGTGGTCCTCGGAAGCTGAGCTTGGACTGTACTTTCCTCCACAGGACCCTGAAAAGAATTTACTGGGGAATGATTATTCCATCCATCCATCCATTATCTGAACCGCTTCATCTTCACGAGGGTTGGGGCATGCCGGAGCCGATCCTAGCTGACTTCGGGCAGTAGGCAGCACACATCATTCGATAACACGTAAGGAACTTTAGAGTAACCAATTGACCTCGGGTGGAATTCTGGAGGAAACCAGAGAAATCCCTCACAGGTATGGGGAAAACATGCAACATGGCGGAATCGAATCCTGCACCTCTGCGCTGTGAGGTGAATGTTCGAACCAGTCGAGAACTGTGCTGCCCTTGATTATTCCCTGGCACTGTCCGGATGTAAATGAGATGCTGCGGAGTCATAACAAGACAAACCAAAAACATTCAGTGCCTTGAGAAACTCCACCTAGATGTTATTCAACTCCTGGAACATGGCACGCCACAGAGGAGCGTTAAATCCCATTAAACTCATTCAATCCCAGCCATTTTCACTGGAGCAACCCCCTCAATCCCAGCGTTTTACTGGATTTTGATTGATCTTGCCAGGCCCACAGAATATTTGGTTTTAATGCTATATAAACATGGAGCCTACCAAAATAAAGTTTAGACTCTCTTCTTTCAGCAGAAAAAAGAATTGTTTCTGTCTTTTTCCATTCTTCAGCAATCGGCATTACAAAATGGCTAAGTTTCATGAAAATGGCGATTCCTGGGCAAAAAAAAGAAAAAGAGCTTTTTGTAAAAGCATGCATTTCAAGCATAATTTCAACTTTGACACGACTGTACTATTTTTGCTTTTGTGAAAGCTCTAACATCTAAATAATGCATTTCTTCCACAAAACAACATAAACACCGCCACAAAAAGGACGTTTGATAGCAAAAGAACAATTTATTTGCAGATAAAACCAATGAACTGTTGAATTCAACTATGAACAGAAGTGAGAGTTCAGTGAGCGTGTGCACGTGTAAACGTGGATGTGTGTGCATGTATTGACGTGTGTGCGTGCGCGTGTGTGTGTGTGCGTTTGTGAGTGTGTGGGTCCCCTCCACTAAACTTTGTTGAAACTTATTTTTACCAAAAAACATTCGTCAAGGGTTAACTGTTTTGACTTTTCCATCGCTACTACCTACTAGTGATGTGTCGTTCGCGAACGAGCCGGCTCTTAGAGCCGGCTCTTTGAAGTGAACGACATGAGCCGGCTCCTAAGAGGGAGCCGCTTTAATGGGAGCCGACTTTTTTTTTTCCTCCTGTTTTTTCCCCCTTTCGGTTAAAGCCGCACGTGATTGGTCAAGATCCGTGGTAGAAGAGGGAGGAGAGGGTTACACACGCACGCACACGCACGCACACGCAGACACAGACACACGCGCGCGCTTCAGTGAAGAGAACGGGGAGGAGTCAGAGAAACAGCAGCACACTGTGAGCAGCACACGAACAGGAGAGACAGGGAGACGAGAGAGAGCTCGATAGCGCTACAGTACAGAGAAAAAACTACACGGTGGAAAGTGGAAAGGTGAGAAAATGGATAGGCAACGCAATGGAATTTGGACTGATTTCAACTGAATTGATAGTTCAAAGGCAGCGTGTAGACTGTGCAAGGTTAAAATGTCCAATATCAAATTTTAATTTATAATTTGTTGTGTGGTAATCAAAGCTTACTTATGTTGTTTTACTGTAAATATTTAAACACTTATAAATATGCACAATCAGAGATTGGAACTTTTTGTTGACCTTGTTTTGAGATGGGTCTTTGTTTTTGTACTTTGTAATTTATTTTTTTGTAGCACTCCATGTTGTACGCCATGTTGAGTATGTTCAGAAGAATATAAAGCCATATAAATAATAAATATTTGATATACTGTATATTTTTTACATTCGTAATTCATTTTACACATAATTTTACATTATTTTTGGGAGTAAACTAATTTAAGCAACAAAAAAACTGAGGAGCCATTTGGGAGCCGAAAGAGCCGGCTCTTTTTAGTGAGCCGAGCCAAAAGAACCGGCTCTCTAAAAAGAGCCGGAATTCCCATCACTACTACCTACCACTATCTGCTCTCCATTCGCAATTTTCCTCCAACACCACACCCCCTACTTCCGCTTCTGCAGCATAACCCTGCCGGATCTTTTACAACACTGCCACCTACTGGTCACTTTTTTACATGATTTACAATGCAAACGTCTGATTCTCATTCACAGACTGCATCAGACCCTCCTCCTCACTTTGACGCAAAAAAAAAAAAAGACTAAGACGTACAAGTACATACTTGGTAGGCGGGGCCTAATTCTACAAGACGGACTTACCATTCATAAATGGCTGAACCTTGGTGACGGGCATGGTTGGACTTGATGATGTTTGAGGGTCTGCAGGATTTCTGAAGTTGTCAGAATGCGAATTTATGTTTAAGCTGACATTTAGTGTGTTTGGGGTCTCAACAGTGGGGAGGTCTTCCTCTGTCACTGAAACCACTTCGATCTTGGAGGCAGTTTGTTGTTCCCCTGCTTCAGCTTTAAATTCCTAAAAGGAATTGTTAAAACAATGGTAGAAATAAATATGGGACAATTTTTTTTTTTAAATACCGTATATGACGTACCAACAAAGCATTTGTCATGCGAAAGACAACGTGTAATACTGTAATTGATGTGCCGTGTGCTCACTGGCATGCAGATCCCTTGGTTTATGTTTTAATGCAACATTGTGGTTACACACACACACACACACACACACACACACACACACACACACACACACACACACAAACTGATATCTACGTGGGTTTCTGGTTATTTTTAATAAGAAATAATATTGACATGAAGGACTTTTTACAATATTCTGACTTCAAATGTGCTAACACAGATAGAGAACAATAGCTGTCAAAATTTGATTGATGGGTGGGAGGAGGTGTGTGTGTGTGTGTAGGTCCACGATTTATGGCTTTATGACTTCCAACTGGAGGTCAGAAGGGAACGCGGATGTCAGGTTGATTGTTCAAGGTGTCAAAAGATTTATCACTTGAAGAAAAACTATATTTGTGGTGGTTGTCTATTATACACCCCGTAGACTTTTTTTTTGCAACATTAGTTGTATCAATACCAAATGAGCTGAAAGACACAAAAAAGTATTTTTAAAAACAATTTTAAACGTAAACGGTGTACATTCACCGCATATATGACCAGCCTTGAAGCAACTTTTTTTGAAGTAGGTCATGCACTCCCTGTGCTCTATGCTGTCATTTACCGTCCTCCTCAATGCAATAAGGACTTTTTGAATGACTTTTAAAATCTTCTTACCAAAATCTGGCTCAAGTATGATCATATCCTCCTTATGGGGGATTTAAATATTCAGTTCGCTGTTCTGAAAAAAACACTGGCAAAGGACTTTTTAAGCCTTGATTAATTTTGCGCAATATGTCACTACCCCGATGCATGAACAAGGACATACTTTAGATCTAGTTTTTGCTTATGGTCTACCGATGTCAAACTTGAAAGTCTTGGACCATGTGATCACCGATCACATATGTCGTCTTTTCTTGTGCTGCTGTTAAATCTGCTACTCCGGAGTGCGGCCACTAGATTTTTAACCTTCTCACTGCTGGATGCCTTTGATGAGCTTTGCGTTCCCTCTTCAAACACTGTTGAACTCACTTGGTTCCACTCATCCTGCCGTGCTATACCGGATTCGGTGGCTCCACTAAAAACTGTGAAGTCAAAAGCTAGACCTGAGCCTTGGTTAATGACAGAACTCGTGCAGTTCAGCAGGTGTGCTGCAAAGCGGAACATAAGGGGGAAAAAAACAAGCTGAAGGTCTTTATCAAATCTGGAAAAACTGCTGGCACAACTACCAGATCACAGTTGAAGATGACAAACGTGAACATTTATCAAACCTAATTCAGGATAACCATCACAACCTTTGTGCACTTTTTAAAACTATTGATTCTCTACTTAAACCCTGTTAAGGAATTTATTCCTTACTGTGATTTTATTTAGCCCCACTCTGGTGTTGGTTCTGTTCCAACACGAAAACAAAGAATGTAGAATGTTGTTGAAGGTATTTACTGCTCACTGTGATTACAATCACCTTCAGTGCCCCTCGACCCCCACCACTTTTAGGGCCCCCTCCAGAGGACATGTTTGACATCAAAAGAGTAACTGTTATCTCAAGCATCTGTGTTCCTGCCATCACATCAAAGCTCAGCCCGAAGACAATGGTGGGTAGTGGTGGTCTGGTCTCACCTCACCACTCCCAACTTTTTCCAGCCACACTGGGTCAGATGACATGTTCATTTCTTTGTTTCCGGGATTTGCATGGAGGTGTAACTGCCCGCCTCTCATGATCATATTGTCTCGATATTCTCATGACTGCATTTTTTTCTACTCTTCCTGACGAGATCTGAAACTCTCAGAAGCCCGAATCGATTCGTGTGTTGTGATAAACTGAGAAAATAGCGACATGGTGTTGGGTTTTCTTCCACCTTATAGAGAAATAAAAGAACCTGTGTCCACGGAGGGCCATAAGGAAATGGACAGGTCCCCTCCTCTACAACCCCCTTAGCCTATTTCCTCAGATTCCTAACCTGAAATGTGCAATAGATTTCTGCTGTTTTTCAACTGATTAGATTTCTTCAGCTAGGACTCTTGTTTAAAATATCGCATTTAACCCCTCTGTCCATGCCCCATGTTCAAGAACTATGTTTTTTCATCTCCAGAATATCACTAAGATGCATTCCATCTGCTAGCGACGCAGAGATCATAATTAATGCGTTAGCGTTGCCTTGACCTTTGCAACATTTTGCTTTCTGGTCTTCCTGTGTCTAACAACAAAAGCCTTCAAAGTGCTACAGCAAGACTCCTGACGAGGACAAGAAATATTACCCGGATACTGCACAACTTGTATTGGCTCCCTCTCCACTTGAGATGCGATTTCAAGGTTTTGTTACTTTCTCATAAATTATTACATAGCTAGACAGCTTCCTATCTCGCTGACTTAGTAGTAACTTACATTTCTTCCCAAAACCTTCGCTCACAATATACTGGTCTTTTGGTGATCACACGAGGCAAAAAGTAGTCGGCAGGTTCTAAAGCATTCTCTATTTGGGCTGCAGTGCTCTGAAATGCCCTACCCGCGAAAATACCTCAGGAGAAATGTTTAAATCTCGAGTAAGGCTCATTTGTATACTCTTGCATTTACAGTAATTAAACTACATGTAGGCCTGTTTTATTAGTGCTTCTTCTTTTCGGCTTCGCTCTCCTTCCCTGCTTGAAGATGGGTCTCGACCTACAGGGGACTCCGTCAAGTTAGTGAGGGTGAGGCTCCTTCTAGTGCTTATTTACCGGTACCTCGATGTGGAAGACGACAATGCCAGACAGTTAAAACTATGTGTAATGCAACAAAACTACAAACAATTGCCACAAAAATTCATCTGAATGTGGCATGTTGGCCGTAACAATATTGCTGAGCAGAAATGGGCGTTTTGGGAGTACTGTCGTTCGTAATTTACTGATTTCCCCAAAACACATTTATAAAATTGAAAATACAAGCTAACATAATTTTACTGATCAAAAAAAAATACATGAGAGTTTTTGAGTGAAAAATGGGCCCTCCTGACGAGACCTTTCCTTTAACTTCACCTGTCAACATGCCTTACACTGCATTCTGGTTTCATTTCACTTGCTTTTGCGAAGGAACTTTCACTGCGGTGTGGCGTTGAGGCAGATGATGTTCGTGCACGGGGAGCCTCTTTTGATGGCTGCTTCTTACTTTTGCACGGATAAAAGTGTCCTGCTGCTTCCAGAAACTCCTCTACCTCATCATCATCATCCATCCATCCATTTTCTGATCCGCTTATTCTCACAAGGGTCAGGGGGCGTGCTGGAGCCTGTCCCAGAAGTCTTTGGGCGCCATATTGTGGAGAAGGGTCTGACACAGCCTATGACGAAGGCTCAAGTTTGTCTGCATTGTAAATCATTCAAAATTGGCCCAACTGGTGGCAGAGTGTGTAAGGGATCAGCCAGGATCATGCTGCAGAACAAGTAGAGGGGGGAGGGATGCATCAGCGGAATTGTGGAGTAACGTAGAATTGGGTGGAGTATTGTGTTGTTCGTGGAGAGTGCATTCGAACCAGTAGCGATGGAGAAATCAAAACAATTAACCCATGCGCTTTATGATGAGTTGTTTGTCTAGATGTGCCCTGCGATTAGTTGGCAACCAGTTCAGAGTGTCCCCTGCCTACAGCCCAAAGACGGTTGGGATAGACTCCAGCACCGCTTGCGACCCTTGTGAGTATAAAGCAGATCAGAAAATGGATGGATGGATGAACTGAAACCTTTTTATTTATATATATATGGAAAGAACACAGAAATCAGAAAGGGGGCAAATACTATTTCACAACACACACATGCAGGCACACACGCGCACACACACACACACACACATGCTCACATACACGCATACTCCCATATAGATGTGTGTCTGAATTACAGTGACTTTGTACGTCAGCTCTCGTAATGTAAAATTGGTCTGTGCTACCTGATGAGTAGCACATCATTTACTAGTTGTGTAATTTTTGTTTGAAAATTATCATAATGAATGCAATGGAATGCAAAGCAACTTTCAGGTGATCAAACCAGGATATATCGGGCAATAATCAAAAAATGTTCATGCAAAAGCTCTTTAAATAGATTACATCAAATCACTTTTAAGCAAAAGTTTGTTGCAATATTAAAATAAAAATGCTTGAGTCATTGCTGCATGATAACAACACTTGTTTTTATAACAGCTATTCAACAATCTTACTGTTGAAAGAGTTGGTGTTTCATTCACTGTGGTGTTGTTTGCGGGATCTGTAAAAAAGAAAAATCACGTATGGAGGAATGGGTTTTAATTGTTAATTGTTCTAACTCCTCAGACGTATGTTACAGAAGAAAAGAAGCAAAGAGATTTGCTGAAGAAAAGAAAAAACAAATATAATCACTTAGGGTTGGCCCAAATGTCCAGACTTACTGTTTTCTGCCAAGTGCTTCGTCATAGTGACAAAATCCAAAATGAAGTGTCCCCTTCTGCTGGCTCCTCTCATCGTGTGTTTTCTTTCCCTATCAGCCTCTCCACTCATTGTGCAAGCAGGTCCATGCAAATGGATATCTGAGCAGGTGAGTGCTCCCACCTGGAGTCAGGATCAAGTGAACCTGCAACTTCTCACTACGAAGGTAGAATTTCATACTCGCCTGTCTCCAGTGTCCAAAGAATACATATTAAGAAGGAACATTTAAGGAAGCGCATCTGTGGCTCGAAAAGGCACTCTAGCGATCGACCGGTAGCCTGTGAACTGATCCCAAGTCTATTGAGGGGGTCCAAGGGAAAATAGAATTTTAAAAAAGCCTGTGATTGATATTCTATATTTTTTAGTTAGTGCACACTGCACCCTAAGCATCCTCTGAGTTTCACTTTCACTAAAAAAGTATTTAAAAATTAAAATAATATCACAAAGCAGGTGTCAGAGATGTTCGCTCGGACAGTTGAACAAAGGCTCGAACGCAGGAAAAGATCGACTTTCACTGCCAGCAGGAGGCGCAGTTTTCCATGAAGCCACTCCGTGTGACACCTGACCTCTGCAGCCTCTGCCGGCCCTTTTATTGATTGTGCATGCAAATTACAAGTAATACATCAGAAAAACACTCCCATCTTCATTTACATACCACGCCCCTGGAAGGCCCCTGTGCTCCATTGTGCGCAAGATGTGTTTTTTTTTTTTTGTTCTTGTTCTGGGCTGTTATGGCTGTTGCTTATGGCATGCGTGTGTGTATGCCTGCATGTACGGTAGCGGGTCGATCGCAGGAGGTCGGTTGCTTGAAAAGTTGATCTTCGGTCAAAAAAGGTTGGGCAACTCCGGATAGACTTTTTTCTAGACCAGTTAACAATCATCCCATGATTTAATGACCCTGCACCATCCATCCATTTTCTGATCCTCTTTTCCTCACAATTGTTGCGGGACATGCTGGAGTCTTTCCCAGCTGTCTTTGGGCAGTGGGCGGGGGACAACCTGAACTGGTTGCCAGCCAATCGCAGAGCACACAAAGACGAACAACCATTTGCACTCACAATCACACCACGGGACAATTTTGAATGTTCCACGAACCTGCCATTCCTGTTTTTGGAGTGTGGGAGGAAACCAGAGTACCTGGAGAAAACCCATGTAGGTACAGGGAGAAGATGAAAACTCCACACAGGAAGGCCGGAGCTGGAATCGAACCCTGCACCATATGTATAAAAACATCTTCAACGTTGTATCCTTTATATTTTCTGCGTTTTTGAACAATAACAAGCCACAATGCACACAATCAGAAGTGTTCACCTGCTCCTCCCTTGCACGCACACCCCCAGCTGCCTCAAGCTCTTGATGTTATTTTTTAAAATTGTATTTATTTTTTGGAAAAATGTCACAGTCTCTAATGTGTAATTTATTCCAATATTGAATTCCACTTACAGAGGTGACCATTTACCCCAAATCTTGTGACATTGCAATCACCTCGGGGAAAGGATGTGCTTTCTGATCTTCATTGAAAGGCGGTACAGTACACCACCCGGGAATCGAACCCGGGTCGCAAGAATGGGAATCTTGCATGATACCACTACACCAGCGGTGCTTAGTCCTCTATGTGAGTAAGAAACAGTAAAGTGCTATTTTTCTCACAACAACAAATTTTTGTTGGTAGGAACGAATGATCAGTATTTTCCTTCCTTTTTTAAAGAACCGCCAATTTGCCAGTACTCCAACATGCTAGTAGCCAGGGCTGTGAAGACCCTCGATAGCTGCTTGCAGTTGTAGTTCTCGTTATTAGAGCCCAAGCAGCGACCGCTGCAAGGTCCCTATTGTAATTGTAACAAAAATATCTTATTATAAGAAGAGCAGCTACGCATGAAGAGTATGGCAAGTTTCATATGGCATCACGAATGTTAAGACCATCAAAATAGGCAAAAAAAAACCCCCAAAAAAAAACATTTTAGCAAGCAATGTGTTGCCAGGGTAACAGTGTAGGGTGAACTAAAAAGCTTTGCTTTTATTTTAGGTTTTCTGAGCGAATATGAAGTTAATCTAGTCAACCCGCTGGGAGAAAAAAACATCAGAGTAAAACATCTTTCCTTCAGCCAGTAGATGGCGTGGCCACTACGACCATAATACGTTTGTCAAAGTCATCAGGCCTAGACTCATTAAACTCATAGAAGATTCCGAGCCACAATTCGTCTGGTTCAAGAGTTGTATTTTATTTCAGAGAGAGTCAGATTTTCTTCAGTCTACTTCAACCAATAATAAGATAAGATAAGATATCCTTTATTTGTCCCACCCTGGGGAAATTTACAGCCTTCAGGAGCAAGATTGTGGGTAGAAAGATACGATTATAATCTATGGTATGGAAACACAAAAACACTGGCCAAACCAATTCCATTGTGTTCAGTATTTTACCATTTGTTGATTTTCTATCGATCCACAAGAGACCTTTAAAAAGATACATAACACACAAGGTAGTTTGTTGAAAATCAGACTCATAGGAACTCATTTCATTTGGAAATAAATACATTTTCATTTAATGACTCATTTGATCACCGCTATTCTCACCCGCACATTTGTCTCTTAACGTGGTCGTTGTGAGAGAAGTTAAGATGGGCAGGCAAAAGATTTCTCACCATTATGTGTTCTTGTGTGTTTTCTTAAGCTTCCCTGATCAAAGAATCTGTGACTACAAACTGAGCAAGAAAATGTTTTCTCACCGGTGTGTATTCTTGAGTGTCTTCTTAAACTTCCGTTCTCAGAGAATCTTTGACCACAAACTGAGCAGACAAAAGGTTTCTCACCAGAGTGCGTTCTCATGTGTGTTTTTAAATTTCCTTTCTGTGAGAATCTTTGGCCACAGGCTGAGCAGGCGAAAGGTTTCTCTCCAGTGTGTGTTCTCGTGTGATTTGTTAACTGTATTTTAGTGGAGAATGTTTGACTACAAACTGAACAGGCAAAAGGTCTCTCACCAGTGTGTGTTCTTGTGTGTGTTGTCAAGTTTCCCTTATCAGAGAACCTTTGACTACAAACTGAGCAGGCAAAAGGTTTCTCTCCAGTATGTATTCTTGTGTGGGTTTTTAAGCTTCCGTTCTCAGAGAATCTTTGACCACAAATTGGACAGACAAAAGGTTTCTCTCCAGTGTGGGTTCTCGTATGTGTTGTCAAATTGGTTTTTTGAGAATATCTTTGACCACAAACAGCGCAAACAAAAGGTTTCTCCCCAGTGTGTGTTCTTCTGTGTACTTTCAAGTATCCCTTCTGAGTGAATCCTTTACCACAATCTGAACAGGCAAAAGGTTTTTCTCCAGTGTGTATTCTAAAGTGTTGTTTCAAACCCCACTTGTAAGCAAAAGTTTTTCCACACTGAGAACATTTCCAGCATTTGTCGTCAGCGTGACATGTCATATTTCCTTCAGACTCAACATCATCATCGGTGTCAGGAAATTGTGACATTGTGTCATCACTGTCTGATATTGGAGCTAAGAGGCCATTTGCTTGTGATCCTTCACGGTGGTCTTCATCACTTTTCGTTGTCATGCGTCGACTTGAGCTGCTGCTGCTTGGAGGCTCCGCCCCTCTGCTATTTTCATTGTGACCGTCATTGTCAATCTTCAAACATACATCGGTCAAGGGTGACTTCATGAAATCATTCTCTTCTTTAATATGTGGGGACTCGTGCGCTTTCTCTTTGATGTGAAGGGGCTCTGGCTCGTCTTCCCCTTTAATGTCAAGGAGCTCTGGGGAATGTTTGTCCTCCACCTCCTCTTTAATGGGAAAGGACTTTAGCTCCTGCTGCTCAGGATGACTGACTTCCCTGATGTCTACAAGACACAAGAAGACAAACACGTGGTTTGGTAAAGTCGATTATCATGTTCAATAATTTGATCTTGTGTATTGTTGTTGAACACTTGTAATTCTACAGTCCAGCCATTTGACTTTTATACCTTTTAAATCTGAAGGCCCCTCCCTGAGCCGTCACCTTACCATGGTGGAGGGGTTTGTGTGTCCCAATGATACGAGGAGTTAAGTTGTGTGGGAATTTATGCCTTTGTTCAACTAATTTTCAAGTTATTGTAAAAATGGGTTTGGAGACCCAAATCAGCAGTTTATTCCTCCTTAGTCCAAAACTGTCTAAGTAAAATTAGATCATGTTGGACAAAGGCGAACTGGTCACACGAATATCCACCCAAAAAGGGCAATTTTGCTTTTAAGGTATTTTCACCCTTTTTATCGAACGCATCAAGAAATTGTAATGCTTTTCATGTGGACTTTTATTAGATTGAGGTTTGTTTGGGTATCTAATTTTGGATTGAAGTCTGTAGATTAGAACTATTTTAATCCAAAAAAGCAAATCTTGGTTTGTCATTAAATTAAATTATTTTTATTGCTTGTATAGCTGTTTCACTATTAAAGCTCTGATTTACACTTGTCATTCTTATCAAGTTTTCCACCTCGATTTTTTGTCGTTAACAAACAGCTATTCCCATTTCACCAGGACTGTCATAGAGGAATTTACATTGTTACTTCGGCTATAGACAATAAAAAGAGTCAGAGCGGTTTTACTAAGGACAGTTCAACATATCTAAGTTTTAACAAGTGGCCTAAAACAAGAAACTGATGGAGTGCTACTACAGTAGTAACCCCAGTGAGAGAGGATACATGCAGAGAATATGAGAAACATGGTTTCATTGGAATACCACATCCAATTTGAACAAGAAACAAGCCCTGGCTCAGTGTTCAAACATCAGCAATATTAAAGAACAATGGTGACTGAATGATGAAGACTGGTGAAAAAAATGGTCAAGCCACTTGGACTGACATTTGGTCATGGAAAATAAAAAATGCAAATTGTTGGGCTGTTCGCACCTGAGTTTGGATGTTGGTTCAAAACTAATCCAGTCATTTAGCTGCCCTTAGGAAATAAACGTATGAAAATGCACTTCAGCACTACTAAGTGCCGCGTTTAAGTCAGTTGTATAAATTTCCGCATTGGCCACTATGGCAATCACAAGTTCATCACAGGAATATTGATCACACCAAAATGTGGTTGGTAAAAAACTGAGTGTTAATAGTGAACAAACCTGCTCTGAGAACCACATCGCGAGGCTGCTTCTGGCAAATAGCGTCCAGTTGTTGCAGTTTCCACTTGTTCTCTTTTGCTTTACAAAGTTTCTCTTCAGACTCTGTTGTCCTTCTTGCGCACATTTTCACACGATAACAATGACATCACTTGATGATCACCCCTGTGGCTCACAAACGCGTCTCTTTATTAGCAGCTAGCAAGCTATAACAAAGAAAGCTCAGTCAGGCCGAGAAGCTTTAACGTGCACCGAGATGACTTAAATCAGACTTGAAGATTTGATGAATGCTGTTTGAATTCCAGGGAAGTAGCGATGGACGTACCATGTCGAGATTTAAATACTTTCGGGACTATGAACTCCGAAAGAAAAATTTTGCGCAGCGCATCCGACAGTTTCGTCAAAAAGGTGTTTGTGGAATGTCACTGATCATACGTGACCTGCACCATGTGTGTCGCGCATGCGCAGGAATTTCGGCCATCTTTGATGACGATGACAGCAAACACACTCGGTCATAAAAAATTTTACTACAGTATTTACATAAATACATTTTATTCCTTGGTCAGCAGTAACAGCTGCCTAAGAAGTCAGCTTCTACTCCCGAGAAAAAGCAAACGTATTTGTATCGTCCGTATTTGCAACCCTGTTACCTGCAAACTTGTTACTTTTATTACAGTGGCAAATAAATATACCTGATCACACTTTTAATCGTTTGTAAAGTGTTATTGATGAATATGGAGCAGAAATTCAGAAAAGTGAAGCAGGAAAAACACAAAACCAAGCAAACAACCGACATGTTGGCGAATGTCCAATCATAAAATCCATTTTCTAAGGTCTTTATTTCATCGTTACTATAAACCAGGAGTGTCCAAAGTCGGTCCTCAAGGGCCGCTGTCCTGCCTGTTTTCCGGCTCTCCCAAGAGCAACACACCTGATTCAAATAATCAGGAACGTTCTAATGCTGCTTCAGAGCTGACTGATGATCTGATCATCTGAATCAGGTGTGTTGCAGCCGGGAGAGCTGGAAAACAGGCAGGACAGTGGGCCTCCAGGCCCTGAGGTGGACAAGCCTGCAATAAACAGTTAATTTGCATAGCGGCTGTTTGTTTTAAGTTTCTCCACTGTCCTCAAATTTTCCGTTTTTCTAATGATAACAAAAAACAATGGGCGACACCTTATAAATCTATGAAAACATTCCCTGTTTCCTATTCTCGATGAATATCCCATATCTAATGTCTGTCAACTCCAGTTGGAGTGGCTCAGGATGCTTCTCATGTATCCAGTTCTGAAATGGCTCCCAAAACGCCTTGATGTATATACAGTGAAAAAAATAAATGTTCCAAAGTTTCAAAGTCAGACACACACAAAACGCTCTACAAGCTCTTAACTATGAATAAGGATTGATTTCATATAACATCTCAAAATGTATTTCTGTAACTATTTAACATGGGTAAAGTTACATTTTCGTCCCTCAAACATAATTGTAATGTATTTGAGGTGATGACACCTTGTATGAATCAATTTGTTTAGAGAGAGAGAGAGAGAGAGAGAGAGAGAGAGAGAGAGAGAGAGAGAGAGAGAGAGAGAGAGAGAGAGAGAGAGAGAGAGAGAGAGAGAGAGAGAGAGAGAGAGAGAGAGAGAGAGAGAGAGAGAGAGAGAGAGAGAGAGAGAGAGAGAGAGAGAGAGAGAGAGAGAGAGAGAGAGAGAGAGAGACATAACACACACCGGCATTATATTTTATTTAGTATGTCCTAATGTGGGTGCCGTAGTTAGAGATCACGGATAACCTTCTGCGCATGAGCGATTTACACAGCTCGTGTTTTGACTAGCACCACCGCCAGACGAGCGCGTGGGGTCAGAAATACAGTAATGGCTTTAATCGGTGTTAGTGGAGAGTGGATGTTTCTGTCATGTGGCACTAAATTGATAGCGGCTCACATCAAGCAGGACAGGTGAGTTGAGATTAAAATGTTTGTAGTGAAAATAAGAATGTTCGTTCACTCACCTGACGTGTGTCTCCTCCAAAGTTTAGAAGTCACGGTGCCGTTTACAAGCATTACCATTTACAGTATTTATATGTTACTTAGAAATAATGTCTAATTTTGGACTGGAAGTCAAAATTATATTGCCAGAATGTGTAGAGCAAGGATCTTCAAACTTTAGTCTTGTGTGAGCTACATTTACGGAGTCAATTCACTACCTAAGCTTTAACCCCCAATAATCACAAGTGCTCTTGGTTGTCTGTTGTTTGCTATTAATTGTTTTATTTGTTTATATTTATATATTTATGTCTTTATGCATTTTTATGCAGTTCAGTTTGCTGACCTTATTTTTAGCCGTTTGTGTTTCAATGCACTGCATGTTTGCACTGTGGTTGAGAGAAGAAAGTAATTTCATCTGTGCTGTATGTTGCACATAGAGCATATTTGACAATGAAGCTTGATTTGACTGGACTTAAAATGCTTTCGAGTAGGTATGCTGGTGCGTTCGAAGTCGGCGCTGAGAAGACGTCTTTGTCGAGTGATGATGCGTTCCAGTTCCAACCAGCCATCTATTTTCTGATCCGCTTTATCCTCACAAGGGTCGCGGGGCATGCTGGAGCCTATCTCAGCTGTCTTTGAGCAGTAGGCAGGGGACGCCCTGAACCGGTTGCCAGCCAATCGCAGGGCACACAGAGACGAACAACCACCCGCGCTCACACTCACACCGAGGGACAATTTAGAGTGTTCAGTCAGCCTGCCATGCATGTTTTTGGAATGTGGAAGGGCGTTCCGGGTCCGAAATCTGAAAATGAGTGCTGTGATCCTCTTTGAAAAGTCAAATCCCCTAACCTTTATGCCACCTTTCATGCACATTTTTGGATTGCGTCATCAGGTCAAGGAGGGATGAAAAGATGCTTCCATTCCAACATAGGAAAGGACAGCGCTTTTCCAAAAAGTTAGACTCAACATTTCCTTCTGTCATCGCGCTATGGCGAGTATTGGTGATGCAAGTTTCTAGTTTGCAGACTGTACCTGCAAAATATTAGATTGATCGTAAAATAAAAAATATACAGATACGAATTGTTTTTTTGAAGAGTCACAAATGACGGTTTTCTATTCTAATTCTAATAAATTATGAAAAGAGAAAATGGATGGATGTTTATAAGTTTATTTCTAGAACCACACCTTTCCTTTTGCTTTGAACGTACATTTCTTGGCCTCATTGACGACCTACTTGTGACCAAAAAAAAAAATTAAACTATTTTTGAAATCTATTTTTAAAAGGAGCGTTTAAAAAAATCATTATGAAAGTTGTTTTTTTTCCTAGTCTCGAGCGTGGTACTTAAACCTCTTGACTTAGTCCAATGGTAAAACATTGACTAGCTTAAAAAATACAGGAGCATGCATGCACGCTAGTGTTTTCTTCTTTTTTTTTAAGACAGCAGGAGCAAAACTAAGTTTGGTTGTACTTCTTTGAAGTATTTAACAATATAAGTAAGAGTTCCAATTCAACGCGCCGGGTTCCACTGTAATTCATTGTGCACTTTCAAATAAATCTGTTATGTATTTCAAATCAATCATTTTTTTGTTGCAGAGAGCCATTTGTATTTGACTGTAGCACCGCCAAGAAAAGAGAAAATGACCCAAAGACTGATGACAATAGGTAAAATAAGACGACTGCAAAATAAACATATTAATGAATGAATGGAATTGTAACAAGTATGTAGCACTACTGAACTCCAGGATTCATTCCATATCTTTGTGATGAATCCAAAATGAAGAAATTTTGTAACCGTTTTTTGTCTTTCTGTCATCCACAACCTCAGCCTTGCAGGGACAACTGGAAGTGACGTAATACTTGCCTTCATAATTTCCCCCTCTGGGAAACTGGTTGCCCTCACCGATGACTCCAAACGACTGATCCTATTGCAGTATGAGCATTCTTGGCAGTGTGTCAGCACCAGGTAAAATTAGGTCATATCCTCCAAGACCGGCCATTTATACTCTGTTAGAAAAGGTTCATGTTCGTTTTCCAGGTGGTTGGTGAGGAGGGGCACGTCCTTGGTGTTTAACAGGGCGGAAGACGAGGTGCTCGTGGCTGATAAATCGGGTGATGTGTATTCCTTCTCGGTGATGCAACCGGAGAGAGAAGGCGAGCTCAAGATGGGCCACCTATCCATGATCCTAGCTGTTGTAAGGACACCATCATTAATACATGTACTGTGTTACCAAAACTGTGATTCGGACTAACAATAGAAGGAGGTAGAAATTATTTGAAGTAGTGCATCTATAATTCTTGGCCGCACACAACAACAGGAGGGATTGTTTGAGTCATATGAAGCAAAGAGTTTCTCACAGGCACTTGTTGTTCCGACATGAAATATGTACTTTTGTATCCCGTGGTTGGTTGCTATTCGGTGTGGGAGAAATAACTTTGATTGTTAGTTAGATGCACCACAGTGAGGATGTACATGATTCAGAATATTAACTCATTCACTCCCAAAGACGTTTTTAAACGTCTTTTCAGACTTGGTCCAGAATTGGCCGGTACTGAATGAGTTAAATAATGAAATACTGGCGGAGAGAAAAAAATGGAAGACAGGAAGTGCACTGCCCGCCAGATAATCAATGTGCAATTGTGCGTGCCACCGAAAGAGCTGCGCTGTCAAGTTTATTCCTATTGCTGGTAATCGCGAGAGTCTCAAAGGCATTCACAAGCAAAAGGCAAATATTAACTACACCCTCGTATCTAAACCTTCCAGTCGGGAAAGCAAAAACTCAAAACCCTAGTTATGGAATGCAGAATTCTCCATAGCAAGCCCTTCAGGTAAGTGGCCCCCCACAGAACTTGTCCCGGTCGATCGGTGCAGAATCCAGACAGAAACTCGCAGTCATGGCAAGGTTGTGATACTGGCACATTGGAATTGGCCTTACGCAAACCAGAATATCATCATCTAGATGTCTTCCACCTTCATGACGCCTGTAAATGTGAAAATGGGCCAAAATGTGGACATTAAAAAAAAAAAAAAAAAAAAAAAAAATATATATA